CATCTCCTTCCTTACGAGAATAATTTTAAGAAATTTGATCACCCTGCTCACTCTTTTCGTGCGCTTCGAATGTGGAGAGAATTAGCCTTGCACTTAAATTTTATCTCTCTTGAACTACTAGGTTTTATTGTTTTTTATCCAAGGCCAACTATTTGAAAGTCATCTTATTGGAAGGAAGCTGGCAGAAAAGTACTCAATTTCTTTGAAACTTTCGACTAGATTTTTCCGTTGCTCTAAGTCAGAAACAAAGACCTTCAATCATTTCTCTGTCACACTTCTAAATCTTCATGCTAAAAGCCTCCCTTTTCTACAGCAATCTGCAGATTCATATCAAACGTCACATCTGTTCCACTTCCATATTCTATAAACTGAACAAGTTTGCATTTTTTAGGGATATTGCTGTGGCAAGAGTATTTCTAAACTATACTGAGCTCTTCACTGTAAATGTTATTTTCTGGCGTCGCGCTATTCAACCGCTCTTGGAATGTTCAAGGTATGGACATAAATCATTTCTATACAACTTTCTAGAACAAATGAATTTTAACTTTCAAATGATGTTTTTTTCAGGCAGTCTCGAAAACCTCTCGATCCCGTAATTTTGATGAACGGTTTTGAAGATATCAGCGAGTGGTCCAAATGTTACATTCCCTTCAACCTTGGTCACGATGATAGCCATACCTACGTTCAAAAGAAGCAAAAAGACAATGAGATGTTCCGTGAATTCGTACATGTGCGTTTGCTTCCCTTTCCCACCAAAATTATGCTTATATTTAGCTTTTAGTAAATTTATTTTAGTGGGCGGAATCACAGGAGTCCATGCGCAGGCAGAAATTGTGTGACACCTTGACCAGTCCTATGCAAAGGCTTACGCGATACAGTCTTTTACTTAAGGTATGAATAGATAGCTTGGAATATGATTTTAACGTTTTTAGAAACTTGATAGCTGTTAATATTCGTATATTTCCAGGCTGTGTTATCCAACTCGACTGATGATCGTGAACGTTTGATTATTCAAAGTGAGTAATGTAACAAATTCCAAATATAATTTAGAAGTTTTGAATTTTCGGGCTCAGATAAAAGAGGCAATTTTGAAGTTCCCAAAATTTTCATTTGCTAACATACAACCCACAAATAGCTTATTTTAAAGTTTTGACTTCCTATCTTTTTTCAAATTTTTGTATTCCCTCTATTTTGCTAGTCATTTTGTTACATTTCAACGAAATTGATTTCCATAAAAATCGCTCTGCGCTCTTTTTGAAACGATTTTTGGAGCGAACGAACTTTTTTGTGCATCCCTTATTTTCCATAAACCTTTGTAGTCACTGACCGTTAGCCGTATATCTAAAATGACGCTGACTTCCCAGTACTCCGACTTTTCTATTACGACAAAAAGATGAAGAATATTGGTCATGCTAGCTTGATTATAAAAAGACCCAAAAGTTATTAAAAATTCTTAATATCTTCTTACATTGTGGAATACATGTGCACATGTGCAAAATGCAAGCAATAATCTGGAACGTCATTCTGCAGCC